TCTCTGACTTTGTTTTAAAAGCATAAATTAAATCGGTCTTTTCTGGCCGAGAAATTAGGGGATGTCACATACATGAACAAGTTATATCATCTAAGTCCACCCTATAACGGTCACACCCTCTTCTGGCCTCAAACACATGCTCTTGACTATGAATTATTCCCCATAACCTACAATCAAGTATCTAGTTAGTAACAATAATTAATGATTAAGACAAGTTTTAGAAAGCATAAGATAATACCTCATATTTTTCCCAAATCTATTCAATTATTTCAAAATTTTTTGACAAACATTTGAATTCCACTTTTCACTTTCGTCATTCATGTAAGCAAACCTGTCCATGATATAAATCCATATCTCTTCAAGCATGGTGATCAAAGGTTTTTTTCTTAGCATCCAATATTATTGAGTTAAAGCACTCTGAGATCCCATTCTCATCTGCTTCACATGCATAGCCTGATCCAAAATAGGCTCTACACCATGTTTCTGGTTGCTTTGACATCAAGTATTCATATGCAGAAGGGTTCAATTTCTTGATGCTTTCCATATGCCTCTTGAAGTCACCTTGTGTGCAACTCATAGAGGCAGCCCAAAACAACTTCCTATATTCCAAACCTGTGAAAGCCTTTCTAAAGTTGGCATAAATGTGCCTAGCACAATTCATGTGTTCAACATGAGGCAGTATATCTTTCACAGATTCAAGCAGACCCTACAAGACAATCATTTAATTAGTTTAATAGAGGAGAAATATGTAATAAGATAACTATGCAATTAAGTAGAGGACAAGTATGTAAAATTTTACCTTGTGTTGATCTGATATCACTACCAAACCTCTTCCACTATCAAGATCTAAATCATCCCTTAGAAGCTCAAGGAGCCATGTCCAGTTAGCCTTATTCTCAACATCCACAACAGCCCAAGCAATTGGATAGACCTGATTATTGGCATATGTACCCATGGCTGTCAACCACTCACCCTTTACTGCTCCCTTAAGAAAGCACCCATCCAAACCAATAACTCTTCTACACCCTCTTTTCCAGCCTTCACATATAGCTTTGAAACCAATATAAAACTTATGAAAATAGTTTATCCATCTGGATTGACAGTTACACACACCTTACATGTAGAGCCTGGATTGGATCTTAACAACTCTTGTGCATAATCCCATATTCTGGCATAATGTTCAGTTAATTTACCTTCAATTAGCTCCTTGGCCCACTTCTTGGCCCTACGACATTGGCCTATAGACATAGCACACCTAAACCTTTGTCTGATGTCAGTAATCATCTCTTTAAGCTTCACCTTAGGTTTATTTGCAATTTCAGTTATGTAGTGTCTACCTATCCATTCAGGAGTAACCATAGAGCCAAGTTTGAACTTCCTACCACAAACATGAGTAGCTTCTAAAGTCTTGATTTGAATAGATCTTTCATTGAACATCCATGAGGCATACCGTCTGAAAGGGCAACCATTATCCTCATTTGTTTTCCCACATCTTACAAGTATTCTTGTACTGTCACCCTTCTCAAAGTAGAATTGATACCCATTGTGGACTGCGTAGTTTTGAATACAAAACTTCAGTTGTGTAACATTCTCAAACATGTCACCAAGTTTTGGTTCCATTTTATCCCATCTTGTTTTTGGATCATGTATTATGTACTTGTTTATCACCTGTTCTTGCTCTTCTTCGTCTTCATCACTTTGTAAGTCACGACCATGATACACTTGTGCTCTTACATCATCAGTCAAACTAGAGTTTCTAATAATTTCATCAGTTAGTAACACATTAAGAAATGTATCCTTACACTTGTCTAGTGGAGTAATGAACTCTTCGTCTGGTTCATGATCCATGTAGATGCCATGAAGCTCAAAATCCATCTCATTATGACCAGAGAAAGGATCGCGTAAACCAAAAAATGGGTATGTGTTGCCTTTGTCTTCTGAATCCCAATCCATCATAACAACCTGAAAAAACACACATTATCGTTATTTGTTAACCTCTGAAGAACAAAGAACTGTAATAACACAATCTTCAAAGAAATTACACATACCATGTGAAATCGACTCTCCAATAACCTAATCTTCTTGAAAAATCCCTAATTTTGCGATGAATGATGTAACGATTCTGAGAAAGTATACTTTTACGTGCAAAAGGTTGAGATAAGGAGTAAACGGACGTAACAGATGTAACGGATGTGCCAACTCCTCAATTAAATGCCAAATCAGCACATGGGTAACCGGCTACTAAGGGTCCAACCTGT